TACCAAAATGTTTCTTTGATTGATACACAATTTTGATCCCTCGAAATAACGTTTTTTATTGTGGAAAGTTTTATTTTCTAAGATGTTATTGCTGAGATTATTATAACCTTGCCGGTAACCACTTTCGGGGTCTGAAGGTGAATATTTACATGCCAATTATTCTGTATTCCTSTCTTATTTTTCCCTATYATTCATTGTTATATTTTTGCTATTATTGGCATTATTCTTTATGATATTTTTGATTTTTTTTCATTATTCAYTATCTCTTTTTGATTTTTTTCATTATTTATTATTCCTTAGAAGTTTTATTTAATTATTCATTATTCCCAGTCACTTTTGAACTGTTAWTCATTATTCAACTTTCACCTTCAGACCTCGAACCCACTTGTTACTTTCATCTTACTGGGACATAACAACAGAACATTTTTCTCCGAGGAACCCGCTGGTATYTCAAACGGAAGTAAGCTCTTGTGTTTTAAACATTATTTGATTAAATATCAAGTATAGCTTTGTAGGTATTCTAATTCCTACACATGCTTTTTTTTCTCAACGATGTCGGACATTCTCTTGTTTTAGCATTTGCTMAGAATACTTGAACAATACTTCATTTATCAAAACTCGTGGCGATATAATATTTCAGTGTAACTTAATTTCTATGTTTTACCTGACTTGTCCAAGCCCATTTCCATTTAGACTGTGAATTCATATACGGCACTTCAATAATAGTTTCTATTATAAACAAATGTGTGTATAAGTAATTAGGTCTCATGCAAGAATTCAGTGATACAAATAACACTTCATCAAGTGATTCACATATTTMGACGCAACACATTTACATCCATTGCTCCGTACATTTCTGAAAACAATTTTTTTTTGTAATTCATACCTTTTCCAGCTTCACTACATGCCAAGAAGATAAGTACGAGAATAAAGCTTGAAGTACACATGCAGTTCATGGTAACAAACAAACAACTGAAAAGACATTTACATTATTGAGCTATTTCTTAAACTAGTCAGTAAATAGCCGCTATTTGTTAGTATTTAGTTTAATTTTGTGTCATGGTTTTCCTGAGTTTCCTCGCGTTTGTTTTGCATGAATAGTATGGTTTCTGTGTGTTGCTTGTGGTGACTCGCACATTCATACTGTAGAATATGGTCCTCAAAGCTTCACAGACAATGAGTAAAATAATGASTGTAAAATGATATTTCGTAATGTTATAATGATTGACAAATGACTAATGACTATTGATATACAACAAAGCTATCAATTAAAGACAATGGGTCGGAATAAGGACGACAGAAATAATTGTGGAATTAATTTAAGTTGACAATTTCCTTTTTATTAACGAGACATATAATATTGACCTACCTCAAATTATAGTCTTTCAAAACTGTTCTCAGAT